TATCCAGGGAAACAGTCTCAGAGCTGACAGTGCATCCCGTAACCTCTCAGTCAGAGGTACGGACACTTGGCTATTCTTTCTGAATACCATGAAACAAAGACTGGGCACGATAATGCCCACCAGTGGGGCGTAAGGTCCGGGACGGAAGGCACAGCTCCATCTGACATTCTCTGTGCTGTAACGTTCCTATCAGATGGGAGTGCTCTCACAACAGCAACATCGTACTCTTCAAAGGTTCATTCTTGTCCTTCTAATAGACCAGGACTCCACCACCCTTAGACTGGGATACCCTATTAGCCATGTGGGTGATGCCCAAACCTTACAGTTGTCAATGGCATTAAAACTCTGTATCTTACAAACATTGTCTCCTGCTCTTTGGGCAGAGCAAGACCCTTCAGGCTGCTGGTCTGGTTTAGGTACTGGCCTGCTACAGAGCTCAGTGCATGGTGCTCACACACAGCTCACCAGATTTAGGCATCAGCACACGCAGGCACGTCGATGCAGGTGGAAACCCACTCCGCCGAGGCTCGAGTGCAATCCCTTCCCAACCTCGTGAGCTACGCAGGTGCCTGAACACTGACCTTGTTGAGCAGATCACCTCTTCAGCCAGTGCTGCCCTGTATATACGTGTGCTTATCTTACTCTAACGAATTATCAAACGCCTACTTATATGACAGAGGATTGCTGCTTGTGCATTGCCAACATGCAACACAAGTGAGAAACTGTTTGACTACACACCTTTTTTTCTGAAATCTTTTGAGGTGCCAACTCTTGTAACATTCAAAGTTGTTTGCTTAATATTCAGAAAAATCCAGCGATCAGCTTGTATAATCCCTTTTTTTCCTCCAGGTTGACCACTCACTTTAAAAGAGCTTAATAGTAATCCTAAATTAATATATCCCATATTTCCATGGCAGTTTCAGATCTTCCTTTCTACTCACCTGTGAAAATGATCAGTTCTGAAACTGTACATATTGTGTATATGTACAGAACTTGATATTTTTTATGTTTTTTTTTTACAAAAAGTGATCATTATTAGGTTTAGTAGCAGTAGTGGAGGTAGTAGTATCATTATCTTCTTTCCTGGAAAAAACTCATTCAACGTGCTCTTGAGGCCAGCAGACAGTTCCCTCTATTCAAGTACTACTTTGAAGACCACTGTCAGAGGTCATGAGAGTCACAACATGTACCAAGTGATGTGCAGCTGGCATAGTGAAGCAAAAAGATGTTTTATGCTTCTTTTTGCTCCTTTTTTGTCATCTTACAATACAGGCACTAAATTAGACACCCTTATTTTCATCAGATCTGTATTTCACACATGTGGAGATGGTAAGCGCAATAAATTAGAGCACTAGGATGATAAATTATCATTCCTTCTGTCAGCCATACTTCTGCCCATCTAAAACTTGAAAAATTCCAAATGCTTCAATATCTTTGCAGGGAGGCCCAGGACTAGACAGACAAGATTCACTATTGGCCTCCTTGTTCCACATGAAAAATGTCTTTATTTTTAAGGCTGATTACCTTGAGGACCTTTTATTATCACTGACATTTCTTTCATCATCTTCTCATCCTCCAAAAAGGGGGATGCACAAGAAGATGCATGGTTTTATTCTGATACATTATGCACTTTTCTGTGAAACAAATTTTCTGAAATGTTTTTACAGAAAATTTTATTACATATGTGACCACACTGTTTCTGGTCACTAAGAGCTTGATAAAATAATTATTGTTATATTAGGACCTTGTCCACAAACTCACTGATAGATAATGAACTTGGGTGGAAGTTTTGAAGGCATTCCGCTACAGAGCTTTCCTTCTGCAAACAAACCCCACGACTGTCTTGGAAATGAAAGACCAATTAAAAAATGCACATCGAAATAAATATTCTCAAATGTGCTTCCTAGTGTGTTTATCAACAGGACTGTATTCACGTTGGCAATCTTAGTTGTGCAGAATGACTAATCAAAGTGGCAAGAGCATCAACTTCAGTTTGTTGTTTTGAACTTTTGTTGTCATAATTTAGTGTTTATGCAAACTCTTGCATAGAACAAGAGGCCGATCACAAGGCAGAGACTCCACTGCACTGTTGTTACATGCAAATATACTAGCATAACCTCTGTGGGAGAAAAAATAATCCATTAAACGCAATTACATAAAATTTGGCACAAATGCTTTCTTTTCTATGCTTTGCATAGAGCTTCTTCATGCAGCAAAGAATTTAAGAACCTAGTTTGTGATGGAGTACATCATGTCACCCTTCACGCTTACATGTTTGGGGTTTTTCTTCTGTTGAATGAAAACATGGGTAATGTAAATAAAAAGAGACATAGAGCTGTATATCATGGTCACCCAGGAACCTTCAACCATTCCTTAAAACTCTTAAAGCCTAAGAGTTAAAAGTAAATGCACAGTGTATTTCAGGGTTAGATTTATCGGAAGTTCCATTTCCCTGAATAATTTTAATACTTGATATTTATGGAACCCACAAACTGCTTCACATGGCTAAGAAAAATTATTAGTACTGTGGAAGAAAAATTCTACCCTGATGAATTCAGTGAAATAGTACAGTACTAGCATTTCACATGAAATGTCATTAGTATCTTCAGGAAAGCAACCACAAAAAACCTCGCAACTATACCCTGAAGAGACAGATGGTTTAATCAGTGATACAGGAACATTTATCCAAATTTTTTTCTTCTAAGTTTATGTCAACTTAAAACACACATGAATCTGTGGCATTAGTAACAGCAAGAAGGCTGTGGAAATGCAGACAGTTAAAAATTGTTGTTGTTCCTTATAGAAGTTTATAGAATTTCCTGCCCAACATTATTTTACTGAACTTACGAGAATGCGCGTACAGGTTATTGATCAGGTTCTCAGTCTTTCACTCTCCAGCTCCTTGTGTGTTTTGCACAGCTACAGAGCCTGGGGATTCTGGGACTGTTAAAGGATTGTGAGAAACGGTTCCTATGGAGAACCTTGGTAAAGTAAAAAACAAACAAACAAAGTCCTTTGGGGATTATTACACTGATGTGTAATTTAAAGATCTTTAAGGCATGGCAGTGGTAGATCTCAGTATCTCCGTCAAAATTCTGCCTATAAACTTAAGACCAGATTCTGATCTAATATTCAACATCTAATAGCTCCACTGACATCAACTGTGTATTTCTAAGAAAATAAATAAATTTAATTTACACTTAAACAAGTGTAAAGTAAATAAAAATGTCTCACTGAAAGAAAACATGAGACATCACAATAAATACATTTCATCAGGTCCGTGTAAGAGTTCATGATTTCAAACTCATGTTATTGTATACCTACTACTTAAAATTTAGTTCTACCTGAGTATTAAAGACGTGAGATTCTCTGCCAGAAAATAAAGTCATGTTTCTGAAAAGGCCAACTACTTATGCCTCATAACAGCTGTAATTATGCAAAAATTGAGGGCCAAATCCAACCCTGATGATGTCAGCGGAATAAAGGCAGAACCTGTGGAATCATAGCTGTATGATATGAAACTATTTAATACAGTATTTTTATAGAAAATAAAATCGTTTTAAAATTCAATTGACACAATGTACAGCTATACACCTAAGTTATCCAACATGTGCAGAGCTGCAAAAACATTCAAATAGAAGTTGTATAAAAAGTAAAAATTGTCATTAAGAAAAAGAAGTTAGCCATTTGTACAAAGTAATGTTCTTTCCCTTCAATTTGATCTTCTTTAGGTTTCATTTTGTAAGTTAAATTTAAAAATTAGTCAACACACTGAATTAAGTATGTAGATTTTCATTTAAATAAATCAGTCAACAATTTTTTTTATAAAGAATTTAACACTTCATTGTAGAAACATAGGCAAAATGACTATTATAACCAAAATGAAAAATACTGTTCAATTTAAAAAAATGTACTTAAACAAGAACCTGAAAAAGTTTATGATATGCATAACATTGTTGAAGCAAAATTGCACTAGTATTACATAAATCAAGAGTTTTATAAAGGCCCCAATATGGCAAAGTTTAGAAATAGGTAGTATGCATGCACAATAGTACAACAAAAATCTTTTATAAAACAGCAGTTATTTTTGTAATGCTTGTACAAAGGGAATAAAGAGCAACCACAAACATATTTAATCTGTTAGGTTAATATATTATGATAGCTAAAAGTCAGTCATGTCTAGCAGAGGAAGGAAGAGTCCTCCACAGTATATGTGTGAATAAGTCTTTTGTGCCTTTAAAGTTATGTATAAAATATTTTGATTCAGTTCAAACCTGAAAGAAACTGTATTCTTTATTTCCATCAAAATTAAAAAAAGGTGAGTCAGATTTTTCCTCTTAGCAACAACAGAAAGCAGACCAGGTCAGAGCAAGTGCTGGAAACTGATACTGATGCTTTTCACTTTCGATAACTGGATTTCAATACTTAACCCAGACTACTGAAACTCGGGCTTAGGTAAGGTTTCACTAATATGCAATTTGGTTATGTTTTACCTCAGCAATATCACAGTTTATTGTCATTTAAAGAAACTGCTGTGTTTTGTATTCTTCAATATCTCTACACAGGTATGACTTTTTTGTGATTGTCAAAACTGAATGCTGTGATCATCCGTGTGTGCTTAAGGTTTGGGGGTTAGTTTTTTCCCTACTGCTTGGTATGTGTTGGGGAATTATTAATCCATAAGTAACGCATGTGATTAAGTGAATAAACACGTAATGCATGTGTAGGCAATGCCCTCTTGTGCTCTAGGGTGGCTACTGTCCTACAGGACTGTTGGAGTTCATATGCTTTGTCCCACAGCAAGTAAGGTTTCAGCTCCCAAGATATATCGTTACTATGTTCTATAAGGTTTTAATAAATACAAAGCTTGTTTACATGGTATATATGTTTAGTATATCATGTACAGTCACTGAATTTCTGAAACATAATCATTGTGTTCATGCAGATCATTAGATGTTTCATTTCTATAGTCTTGTTTACTTCTTGGCAACCTAAAGCTAATTTAAAAGCAAGTTATGTTTGTTTGTGAAAAGTTATCTAGCTTTATCAGGATCTGAAGAGAAATTCTAATGGGCACAAAGAAGAGAGTAGACCATTCAATCATTCTTTCACCATTTAAAATAAACAAAATTACACACTGTACTACAGCTTTCAGACTACATAATGAAAAAGTGCAGATACCATCTTCATTGATTAAGTAGAACCAAAAAAGTTCATAGAAAATAGATTGCTCATTTTCACGCTACAAACGAATATGTTGTTTGCAATTTTAACAAATTTAAAGGTGTGTTATTCCAGCAGCATTGTTGTAAATTGTACCGTAGTGCAGTTTCTTTTTCATAAAAATACCTTACAAATGGTCAGTCAAAAGTCATCAGCAAAAGAAGAACCCAGAAAACAATCAACCAAACAAAAAACAAGAGGTAATGCTGATGCCAAAACAATTATAATACTGTTGGTACATAGAAAAGTAATCCTTATATTTTATACATTTATACAGAGTATAAAAGGTAACAGCAGATTATGCCACAGTCTCCCTTATCCCAATATCTATTTTCTTTGGAAGGAGTTCTCTTCTTTCATCAACACTTGCTAAGGAGTTTCGACAGTTTTGTCCATCCATGTATAACTTTGCATATACTGGATTGGCGTAATTTGTTGGCTGCAGAGAAATTAAGCATACATTAGATCAGTCGGATTAAACCAAAATAAACGTTTATGGAAATGGAAATGGTTTTGTTAAAGCAAGAACAAGTACATGTAAAATATAATTGGACATATTTAATAGATACCTGGACTTCTGCAAACCTGATAATGAGTTAATTATTTAGTTAAAAATTAAATTCATGATAAGACATGCTATTAAAATAATCAATGATGTGACATGCAGCATATTATGATATTAAAACCATAAAAAAATGACAAAAATTAAAACAAAAACCTTGAAAAATGTCTCTGAAGTTGACTTGTCCACCTTATTACACTGGAAGATTTCAGAATAGATATGAAGAAGTTTATAGAGAAGGTGCACTGTGAGACCATGTGACAAGTTTAACAGTAGAAAACTGCAACCAACAGTTTCCATATATTACCTGTTCTAAGACATCAGCATCCCATCAATAGCTGACCATGTTTTCGAATTCTGTGGCCCAAATATACAACATGATTTGACCAAAAATTCAATACTTTCGTAATGTAAAGTAAACTTTAATAATAAACCAGCATAACTCTTAATATATCATAGTAGTTACAGATTGAGAAGTATTTTCTCAACAGTTTTGGTAGTTTGGACTGTAATTAAAAAATCTACCGAAATGAATGATACTTCAATATAGGACAAGTCTGATTTAATTCTGCAAAGCACTTCAGTATATGAGAAATCTCCTGAGTCTGAGAAGAGAATGATGTATAACATGGACGAAAACTTACTCTCGTATCACTTGTGCTAAGGAGAAAGCACTATCCAAGGTTTATCATGTAAATGTCTCCAATAATGCCTTTATACTTTGTGCCTTTATTGTCTCCTAGAAGACCTTTGCTATGCAACCTGATGTTCAGCTTTTTACCTATAGTAACTGGAAAGGGTACCTTATGGTCAAAATATCCCTCTTCCTTGTAACTAATGAAACAGCACAGCTTTGCTGACACCAATCCTGAGTGGAACACCAGTAAGCTATAAAATAGATAAATTGTTCGGTGTGTGTAAGAAGTGGCTAAACTTTAAATTACCCAAAACAGAAGTGGGTAAGTGTTCTTGACTTGCAGATATCCTGAGTACACCTGGGTAACAAGGAATGGAAGATGTCTAGAACCTAAGTTCTTCCCTTCCCTGTTGGTCAATACCATTTCTGAACCCAGGATTCAGATATTTCTTAGGCTGGCTAGCTACAGCAGCTACTCAGTTAGTTAAAAGCTGCCTATTCCATTTATTACAGATGATAAAGTGATTGCCTGGTGTTTCACACTTTCCCAGAATGGAGGCAGAAAAAGGAGAGTCACCTCTATTTTAAAAAATAAATAAATAAAAAAAAAATCTACTCTTCTATATTAATGGAACATAAATATGCAATCAACTGCTGCAGCAACTTATGAGACCAAACTCTCAGTCATACCTGTCTGTCCCCATTGAATTAGAGATCTTTACACTTGTCATAATGATCATAATCAGAAATTTAGGAAAAGAGAAATTTAGTTTTATTTCAATTGACTGGAATTTTATTTCATTGACAATCATTATTAAGGATGATAACCATAACAGAACAGAGATGCCTGGCATCTATAGAGTGCCTTATGGAGTTATTAATAGTATTATTAATATAACAATAATAATTATTAATATAATAGTAGGCTCTGCCTCACAATACCTCTTTGAGTGGGTACGGATAACCTAATGCAGTACAGTGAGGTACAGAAAGTAACAGGAGTGACTTGAATAACAGAAAGAGTTAATGCTGAGATGGGCATATAGTCTAGCTTTCACCATCCATGGTTTTGTGCTCCATCAGAAATATCATACCCTACACAAATTGTTAAACTTCCAAATACAACATACTACAATCATGCAAAAACACAAACGGCACAAGAGATGAATATATATACTGAAGCACATGAAAATGAATGTCATATTGACGTCCCTTTTTAGTATTTTAAATTTCAATGCAAACATCATGCTAAATTGCAGTCAAATTCTGATGTTTTAAAAGTAATTATTTTATGATAAAAATTGATTGAAAGCTGAACAATCAATAATTGCATTGCAAACATTAAAGGATGTTGTTCATTTTAGTGTGTATCAAATTCCTCTAAAACAAAAAGAACTTGTTTTCATTTATTAGGGAACTTCTTTCAGTTTGAAAAACTTCACTAAATGCCTGTAATTAAATTGCAAATATATCAAGATATGTGGCTGTGAATGCTATGCTAAACTTATGTAATGCCATGGAAAAGCACCATATTGCTTCCCGGCTTTGCATTCCTTTGCAAAGACACATTTGCAGTTTTAGATCATGTTACAGTGATGGGTACAGGTGAAATTTTATATGCAGAGAGGAACCCTTCATTTCCAATGGAAAAACGTATGATTTACTGTCATTCTTCTTGCCATTAAAAGAAGAAAAACAAAATCAAAAACAAACAGAAAATGCCTGAATCCTAAAATGACAGACAAACTTTCTTTAGAAAGGGGCTGTGGTGGAATGAAATGGATTTGAATCATCATTTCTCACCCCTGTTGACAGCGGTCCTTTCAAGTCAGAGTTTAAGTAGATTGATGGAGCTGTGTGGGGAAGCTTGAATGCAGTGGGCCCTCCCCCTATGTATCTGGCCTGCATAAACAGAAAATTTTAGTTTCTGTGCCAAGAGAGCATCTTCCAAGCGTACTTATCAACACTGTTAAATAAACAGTGCACTGATTAAAAACATTCTTTTAGAGTGATTTACAATTTAAAAAAAAAAAAAAATCTACTTACAGATATTCTTCAGTGTGAAAAATTCTCGTATTCAATAAGAGAATAAAATTCAGCATTTTAAAGTAATTTTCCATTAAGAATTAGAGCCAGACTTCACAATAACCATTGGCTTAGTTACTCTTCCTCCAGCGAGTAACTGCATTTTCAGCTTACCTCTTGTATTCAGCACACTGACTATGTGATTCAGCGATGGCATTCCTAGAGCTAGCAGTAATCCGGTTATTGCTTTGTCAGAAATGCCACAGAATGATGGCTGCCCTTTGGTGTATGTCTGATTACGGAGCTCTAGGAAAGATATCGCAGCATTAACTCGTTCATCCCATGTCACATCACTCAGGGAGTTCAAAGCACTGAAGAATGCTGGAGAAGTGACAGCATCTTTTACAAGAAAATGATAATACTTACTAGCTTTGTGTAAACATTTAATCTATCTATCCAGCCAGAACACTGAATTCTTTATGCTTTTGGAAGTTTTCATATATGAAATAAGTTAGTTTCATATGTATGAATACACTC